TCCTCTCTACTCAAACGGTCTCTGGAAATAATGTAAGTATATGAGGAAAGGTCATAAACTTCAGGTTGAGTGCCAGGAGAAGGGCCTCTTGACCCAACACACAGAACACAAGCCCCAGGTCTTAGAAAATTTACTGGAGGGAGAGGGCCACTTTAAACAATACCCCTTCCTTTTGGCTTTATAATAAAATTGGATTAAAAAGGTGTACACCTGGGGCACCTGGGCAAGTCAGTCAGTTGGTCCTCCAACTCTTGGTTTCTGCTGAGTTATCAGGATCATGAGATCAAGCCGATCTCACCATTAGGCTCCCTCCTCAGCTGGGAGTCTGCTTTCCCTCTTTCTCTCCCTCTGTCCCTCCCCCCTGCTGGGCTAGCTCTTTCTCTGAGGTAGATAAATAAATTTTTAAAAAATGGACGCCTGGCTGGTTCAGTTGGTTAAGCTACTGTCTTCAGCTCAGGTCATGATCCTGGAGTCCCGGGATCGAGCCCCGCATCTGACCCTCTTCCCTCTCATACTCTCTCTCTCTCAAATAAATAAATAAAATCTTAAAAATAAATAAATAAGGGGCACCTGGGTGGCTCAGTGGGTTAAAGCCTCTGCCTTGGGCTCAGGTCATGATCCCAGGGTCCTGGGATCGAGCCCCGCATCAGGCTCTCTGCTCGGCGGGGAGCCTGCTTCCCCCTCTCTCTCTGCCTGCCTCTCTGCCTACTGGTGATCTCTGTCTGTCAAATAAATAAATAAAATCTTTAAAAATAATAGTAATAAAATAAATCTTAAAAAAAAAAGTTTACCCTTTCCAAAGCATCTTTTCTTTTATAGGTCCCTTCTGATGCTTCACTGATATTCTGATGCTTCGCTGAGAGACCCCCACCCCGAGGCAAACTCTGTCTTCACAGACACTGTGTTTTCCTACCTGCTCCAGCTGCAGACAGCTTCCATCTATTTTCAGTTATCGTGGGGAGCAGTAGATAATACACATAAGTGACACATTAAATTCACAGATAATTTTAAAATCTAATTTTAGCCCCTCCTTTTCCCACTCTGTTATTTATCAAAACTACTTAGGAGGCCCAAATGAACTGATTTGGTTCTATCTTCTGTTGCTGCTTCTGGTAGAGTTGCAAATGAACAGATTGAAGACCAAAAGGCAGACAGCAGGAGGGAGAAGGCTAAGAATGTGGATAATCTACAGGATGAATGCCCAAACCATCTAGAAAATTAGCTGTGCGAGGAGCTGAGAGCTCAGTCTTCATGTTGCCTAATGCCTGACCCTCACATCTAGGCAAAACCTTCCTCCTTACAGCGGGCGAATTACCCATCAATCTTATGTAAAACCAGGAATTAAATTACTTAGTGTTTTGCTGTAAATACAGTGCAGGGATTCCAGAATGATAACTACCAAGAATTTTAGCAAGCAAGAAGGGCTCAGGTGGCCCTTCTCAGCTTCCCCACATTCCTTCCAGAGCTAGGAAGGCTGTCATGGCTAGCCAACTAGAGCACAGGGACCTCCAGTAGAGAGGCACCGTCCACATTCTGCAGTATCTCGGCCAGAAGGGGTGATTTTTACTTTTTTTACAGCTTCCTTGCCTCAAGTGCCTCCCCATGTCCCCTCCAGAATTGACCAGAAACATCCATTCCTGCGTGCAGGGGTGTGCAGGAGCTCTCACGCACACCCCCAAACACCCACCTGCAGACACGCACGCACACACTCAAGTCCTCCCAAGATACATGTGACCAGTGTCAGTGGGGTCTGGCTATGCGTCAGAGCCCGTTTTAAGACAGAAATGACTATTTTCTTCCACCATCTCGGGATCGTGTGGCTCTCTGCCCAAGCAGGAGGTTTCTTTTTTGATAAAGGACTGCAGCTGATGTCTTGCTAGCTTCTAGAACTCCAGTGGATGACAGAGCCGAAGGGAGACACCAGGCAGGGAGGAATAAACGCGGCAAGTTTTGTTTCTCACCTTTGCCAAGCATAGAGAGCAGCTGACCAGGAACTGAATTCTCCAGATTAGGGTTTCGAATCCAAATTCTTGGGAGACTTTCATCAGAGTGCCTTTATGAACAGAGGGCTGCCCTCACCTTAAGCCTGGGACTGCTTTCTTACCCTCCTATCAAAATGGAGGCAGTCAGACATACCTTCCTCCTAATTTTATCTTGAAGACAAGATAGCTAGGTGAGTATTACCTTACTCTTATTTGTAACACATCTGTAGGCTTCCCCCTACCAGTCCTGGGCAGAGGAGGGAGGTAGAACATCCCAGGACAAACCAGTTCTGCTCTGGGCCAGAATGCCCTTTCCCCTCAATAGAAAGGATCCCCAGGATGGCTAGGATTTCTTGGTCAAGGCATTATAACCAATGCAGTGATCCTTCAGTAAGATGACGTGTCGATCACAATATATTTTATGTTCTAGAAAAATCCTGCACAGGGCAGCCAGATGCCCCTCTCCCTGCAGCTCAACCTGACCAGCAGAGGAGCCCCTCAGGGCCTTTTTAAAGATTCGGACAGTTGCCCCAGCTTGACCCCAGACCAACTGGATGCAAATCGCTGATGTTGGAGACTAGGACTCTGCATTTTGCAGTGTGGTTTCTGAGCAGATGCTCACTGTCCTGGGTGGGTCTTCAGATTTTCCAGCCACATTCCTACAGATTACTGGTCACGTCACAGACAACTGCAGGCTCACCAGGGCTTAACACGCATGTAACCGTAACTTCATGCCGATCTATTTGGACGAGTCAATCTTTCCTAACCTTGGTGGTCAGTGGTTGCAACAGTCACACTGGCGTTTGAACACATGACTTGCTCCCTAGGTGAGAAAGAAAAATATTTAATGTTTACTCCATCCCCTCGCCATGACTCTGCAGGAAGACCTCAACCTAACAGGGGTCGTGCTTCTCCTTTCGTGAACATGAAGGTCACTTTCTGTGGACCAGTCACTCATGGCTAATTTCCTGAAGTTTCTAAAGAGGAACTGGATTTTGACTCTTGAGCACTTGGAGCACCTGACATAAGTTAACCCTCCAGGAGTGACGACAGTGATGTGAGGAAGGGCAGGAGTGCCAGCCAGTGTCCCAAACCCTTATGATTATTGGTGGATCTGCATGACCAAGTTCATTGGCTGAATGCCAGCTAATGAAGCCAAGGACGTAGTTTGGATCTTTTGTAGGCCAGCCGAGTTCAATCACTTTCTTTCATGAACTGTTCATCTCGAAAATGTCAGCCAAAGGATTCTGAGTAATAGCGTGAGGAATAGGGTGAAACAACCCGAGGTCTGAGGTTCTTTGATGACAAGTCAGGAGGCTCTTCTCTAGGCCCTAAAGACACAAGTGTACACATGGACCCAATTCTGATTCAGACAGAATCTCTTTGAGATTGTTTTGCAATATAATTTGCTCATTACAGCCCAAGTGGACTCCTGAATTCCATTATTTCTCCAGAATTAAAACTTTTCTGGAACGAAACCGGTGTCTTTATGGGGTGACTCACTGGGTCCCTTGTAAGCTGTCACTCTTGTGCACGTGGACCCATGCGTCCCAGGAACTACTTCCTCCCTTTCTAGAATATAACATCTCCCTTCGTGGATCATCCTCTATCTTCTTCTCTCTCCTGGCTCCAGATTCTGGAGTCTGAGACTGGACATGGCAACAGAGACAAGGGTGCAGAGAGTGTCCCCATTACCTGTGTTCTACCAAGGACCCAGTGAACAAACCAGGGGTGACCAGGGGTGGAGTGCTGTAGGATGGGAGAAGAAGGGAAGGTCAACATGAGGTTTAAACTGAAATCTCTGAATTCTTTTGCTCCTAAGAGTAATAGTAATAGCTAGCATTTACGAGTATTTAAGTTTGGGCTGATCTTTGGGGAGAGTGCTTAAATGCTTTCCCTTATTCAATTCTCTTATTACTCTGTCTCTGTCTCCAACCACCAGACTAGAGCCCTGCAAAGTTTCCATTTCCTTACCCTCTTCCACATGCACACGCCATGTACCAGGGTTCCAAGGATTAGATCAAAAAGAAAAGGAGACTCATGAAAGATTATTGTGTCCAAAGAAGGAAAGGGAGAGAAACTCCAGTGAAGGGTCTTTAATGTCAGGCAGAAACTGTACATCTGGGGCAGAGATGAAAAGAGCATGCCAGGCCAGCCGAGCCTGACCCAGCCACACATCCTGTCGCTCAGGGGGCTTCCCCCGGGGTGGAGGAAGTGACAGCAGCAGCATCCCGTTTCCTCTCCCTGTGGGAGCACGGTGCAACATTTGCTCGGTCCAGTTACACTCCTGGCTCTCTGTGGCTCAGGCACAAACATTCAGTTCATCTCTCTCCTAACATGTCAGGCCAGTCGACCCCCTTTCCCCTCGGTGTGGGAACCGGTGGCAGGACCTAGTGAACTGTGGATGGTGGGTAATTCTCGCTAGACAGACAGGCCTGGGAGTCTGCGGAGGTGCAGGTCCCTCTGTGGTCACCTGTCAGGGATGACATCAGACCTCGGCTCATTCCCGTTAACTGGGGATTCTGCCAGGACATGCCCGAGTGAAAGGGTAAGAAAACACCGGCCCTTTTCCGGAACCAGTCAGTATTCCGGACAAGACCCTGAAGATGGGATGGTGTAAGCAGAGTTCCTGCCGCCTTGCACAGGGTCTCCTGGCCCAGTGATAGGAGTCACAGAGTGGTCATCCAGCCGGCAAAGGCTCCAGACTTCCAGACAAAATCATCTTCTGCATCCAACCGCCACTTGTCTCCTCCAGGCCATGGTGGATAGACAGTGACTAGTCCCATGTCCCTACATCCGGAGAGTCCCCGCAAGAGGGACGGGGGGGAGAGCCCCCGCCCCCACACCCACCGGGAGTAGAGAACCAAGCACAGCGCAATCCTCAAACACCTCCAGCGTCTCTTAAATAAGCTTTTCCTTTCCATTTTCTTCTCTTAATTATTTATCATCCATCCCTTTATTTATACAAATATAAAATAGATTTATATAGATTTATATAATATAAACTTTGTGAGGCAGAGTGGCGAAGCGGCCGGAAGAGCACCCCGGCCGGCTATTTACAGACGTACTGGTCGACGATCTCCGTGCACTTCTTGCACTTGACGTAGCAGCACCAGTGGAACTTGCAGTGGCAGCGCTCCGTCTGCACACTCTTGAACTGGTCGTAGCCGCGGCCACAGCACATGAGCTCGCAGCCGTCCATGCCCTCCGACGTCTTGTTGCACAGGCGGCCCTGCGTGCCCAGCGAGCCCGTGGTCTCGTTGCGCAGGCAGTAGTCCGGGCTGGGGTCCACGTAGACCAGGTCCTCCGGGGTGGGCTGGTTGAAGCGGCTGTTGACCAGCTCCAGCTTGCCTTTGCGGGTGATGCGCATGGCGGCCGCGCTGTCGTACTTCTCCTTCAGCTGGTCCCCCACCTTTCGGAACTCGGCCAGCTGCAGCCAGCACGTCTTGAGGCTGCAGGAGCCCGAGACGCCGTGGCATTTGCAGGCCACGTCTGCCATCTTGTACACAGCCTGAGGGGGCAGAAAGAAGGCATCAGAAGGAGGAGCCTAGGGGGTGGGGTGATGGCAGATGGTAGGAGGGTGGCTGGGGGCACCCAAACACGGAAGGGGGTGGGGAGGGGCAGAAGAGTCGTTTCTCAAATGTACAGAAAGATCTTTCCAGGAAGCTTGGTTACCCAGATAGAAAGCAGATAAAAGGAGCACCCGGCGGAAAAACGCGGGGGAGGCAATGTCCATGTCTGATCGGCTCCAAGGACGATGGCATTTGGTGCCCTTGCCCTTCCTACTTTGTCCATGTCTTATTACTTCAACTTGTTATGATACACGTGTCATGTTCACGATCAGGGAGAAAAAAGGATATTTCTATCTTGAACCAAGCCTCAAACAAACAAATACAAACCAACAAACTGTGTCCAGCTTTTGCATGAGACGGAGTACAGTCAGGGGCTATAATAAAAAATCCAGCTGTACTACAGCCTGTGACAGAAACTGCATGGCGGTGGCTGGCCAAAAGCTGTCTGTGACTTCGCCAAATCCCCTAAGAACTCAACGGCCCCCTTTTCTGTGTTAACATTTGGCCATTAACTCCACGGAGTCACAGGGACCTCAGCACAGACCACACAGGGCTGTTGAACAAGACCATTTCCTTGTGCCCGGCACCCCCTGGAGAGGCTGAGCAGGGAAGAAGAAGAGTGGAGCCCTGGGCCGGCAAGAGTGGGTCGCTGGGCCCACCAACAGGGGTGATTCATCGGAAAACAAACCCATCTCGAAGCCACTGAACCACAACAACGTGGAGTGGATTTGAACTTGGGTTATCCCAAATCACAAATTTTTTAAAAAGCAAGAGTCGACCAGAATGCTGCTTACAAAGTGCTTTTCAATGAAAAGCACCCTGATGCATTGTGTCTGACGGCCCTGGCAGCAGGCCCGGGAGTACAGATGGCAGGATAAAAATGTAAGCCCGCTGCAGAACATTTTCTTATGCCACAGCCATTGTCACCAACTGAGTCGGGACTCTTTTTCAAGGGTTTCTCTCTCGGATTTCTTTTCAAGAGTCCCCAGATTGTGTCTTTATTCAGCACTGTGCAGACACCACTGCAGGTGCAAGAAATAGCTTCACCATCATTAGCTCATATCACTATTGTCAAAACTCTTCCTGATTTTTTTTTTCTTTTTTTCTGGTGTGGAATTATCCCTACTGTTGTGTGCTGGAGAAACTGAAGCTCTAGAGAGGCTCAATATTCTGTTCAGGGCCACCCAGAAGGGAGTCAGAATGACTAGCCCTTTTGCACTCCAGTCTTGAGGCTTAAAAACGGCTTAGGGGAGAGAAGGACGGAGGCTCCTCCCCAAGGTTAAAGGCACCAGTACTGGGCTGGCAGCTCCAGGTCCACGGCATAAAGGAACCAACACCCCATTCCAACAGGCACTTCAAAGACGGGGTCTGCAATTACCCTGTTCTGGCACAAATCCCCCCCCCCCCGCCCCAGTCTGAGCTGGGGCCTGACATTCCTCTGGAAATGGTCCTTGGTTTAGAGAGGGAGGTCAGGCATCTGGTGCTGCTGGAAGCAGGAAACATTAAGGGCCTAAAACTGTGTACCCTGCCACTAAGTACCAAGGGGACAGGATAAGCATCTCTACTGGGAGCCAACAATTAGGGAGATTTGAGGAAGGAGAGCTGAAGAGGACACTGCAGAGGAAAAACAGGAGCTTTTGTAAAACAAATCGGAGAGGAAAGAGTGTCACGGATCTTCACTAAGAAGACATTCATTCCACCCCCCTCTATGAAGAAGGACACTGTAACAGTCATATTCTTAAATATTTGCTCTTGATAATGTAGAGAACCTCCTCTGACAGGAGAAGGCAGAAAAATAAATCCGAATTTTTAGCCTTTCCTGCCAACTGGAAAAGCAATAAAAGCAAAATTTTAAAACATTTTCTTAGTTCTGCATCTTGCCTCCTGACAAAGCCTAAGTCCCTCTTCTGCGCTGTCTAATGGTGTGACTGAGCTTTGTAACTGATAGGAATGTCATGAGGATTAGACAGCTTTTATCTGGAAAATGCTTAAGCCCTTGAGTGACAAGGCAGTATCAACCAACCGCTCTGGCCATCAAGGTCTAAAATGGGGTTACTAGAGCCTCTCAAAGGCCAAGAGAAATTTCCTGCAAAGTATGCCCCAGATTTACTCTGTGGCCAAGATGTCAGATCCTAGATATTCCATTAGGAAAAAAAAAAAAAAAATTGGCTCAGTTGGTGGAGCGTGCGACCCTTGATCTCGGGGCTGGGAGTTTGAGCCTCGTGTTGGGTGTAGAGATGACTTAAAAATAAAACCTTTAACTGGTTGTAAAATACAAATCCAGGGAATTTTCAATTCCTGCCGCCATTTTAGTTTTCCCTACAGAATTTTTTTGTGTAGGTGTGAGGAGGTGGGAGGTGAGTACCTTGGCCTCAGATGGTGATTGATGGCGGAGGCCTGCTTCTTGGAGAGCGGATAAAAAATAAAGAGGGACAGGAATTCCCAACCTGGTGCAGACAGAAGCAAAGGGAGAGATAAAGGCTGTGGAAGAGGTGTGGAGACTGGGGGAAGGGGGCCCAAAGGCAGGGAGACAGACAGAGGAAGACGGGGAAGGTGTGTAAGTGAGAAACAAGGCAGATGGAAGGAAGGTTGGCCAAGATAAGGGCCAGAACAAACAAACAAACAATTAAGGGCAATAAAACGAGGAGCCAGCAGAAGTGGGGTCAAGACTGTGACTGAAATGGAGCCCAGAATAGGATGAAGGCCTAGTCACCTCAGCATCTGCCACAACGCCCCAAGGAGAGCTCAGAGCAGAGACAGGAAACAGCCTTCCATGAATTTGACCTCTTCCTAGGCGCACCATGGGACCTTTGCTCTGATTCGAAGGCGCTCACCCACCCACCCGTGTAAAGCAGGGTGAGAGTGCTGCCAGGAGCCACGGACGGAATCCCTGAGCTGAGGGAGCTACAGCCAGTGGGAGGAGGCGAAGGAGGCCGTACCTCAAAAGGTAGCAATCAACCTCCCTCAGTTCAGAAGCAGAGACTACTCATGATGGGGGATGGGAAGGGTTTTAGGGAATAGGGGGTATTTGAACCAGGATCTTAAAAAAAAAATGGATAGAATTTGGGCAGTCGGGGGATAAAGTGAAGATCGTAACCTTTTTTTTTTTTTTTTTTTTTTTAAGCCAGGCTCTCACACGATTAGATCCCCAAAGCCTGGCATGCAGGCTGCCAAACAGAGAGGAAGTCGTGGGGGAAAGAGGTGGCCCCACAGATGTCCTCAGAGTGGAAGTTCATCTAAGACAGTGCTGTTCTCTGTGCCCTGGTTCGAACCAGAGCAACAACCAGAACTCACGACCCCATGGATTCACACCACCCCTCACACACACCTCTAGCCTCTGGAGATGGGCTCTGAAAGGAAGGCTGTGGGCAAATGAACAACTCTAATTTCAACGTGACATCCCACTACTGACGAGACTAAGTTTCCACAAGCGTGCCATGTTCTACCAACCCAACATGACAGGTCCCCAGTCCACGAGAAGCTGTTTCAATTCCATTATTTGGTACGTGTTCCTAAGAAACAGAAGTTGATTTTTTAAAAAACTGGTAAATACTTTTTTAGAAATATATCCATATCCTGTCACTGAATCACCAAATGAACCAACATGAACTTTCTGAATTGACTTCTTCTCAGGAAACCGCTAGTCTCATTGTTTCTCATTAGTTCTTTGGTCTTGCGACAGTATCTTACCTGGGCCCCAGAGCCAGCTGGCTTGACACAGACCTGAAGGCAGACAACACGCCCAGAAAGAAGTCTGTGTCGTTTCCTGAGAGGTCTGTGGTCCCCCCTGGCCCTGAGCCTAGAGCGACTCGTACCACCCAGCACTCAGACCTCATGCCTCTCTGTAAGGGAGACCCCGAGGCACCCACCTGCCTCCTGCACGGCCCTCTGGTGTCGAAGTGTGTCTGCCATTAGCGTGGACGCGTGCTTTAGGATCAGGCCTCTGGATGGGCACGACACCAACTCTTAAACATCAGCTCTGCTTTCCCCTGTGTCTCTCACAAATCATAAACCCTAGGCTGGGTCTCATGGCCTCAACTTCCAACTGTCCTATCTGCTTGACAAGAACTCTACTTCGAGCGCCTGGAATCTGAAGACAAGGCTGCTCCTAAGGGCTCTAGGGACAGCTGTCCTGGGAGAAATTAACGAGGTTTATAAAAATGACAGTGGCACGTGCCCAGCTGGGGAATGGAGCCTCGTGAAATGGATCGGGTCGGCAATGTGGGCTCTCTCTCATGCTCTCTTTCTCTCTCAAATAAATAAATGAAATCTTAAAAAAAAAAAAAAAAGTAGGCATCCCATAATCCTGGAGGTAAGATTCCCTGTGGTCAGGACGACCCCCTTCCTCATGGCCAGGCCAGGGCTCCCAGCTCAGCCCAGGAGCAACGGGTTAGCCCAGGGCGAGCGTGTGTGTGTGTGTGTGTGTATGTGTGTGTGCATGTGTGTGCGTGTGGAGGTGGGGGAGCTCCGCTTACCCTCCGCCCCGCCTCGTTGTTCTGCAAGTTCATGAGCACCCGGCCCTGCTCCTCCGACCCCTTGGCGAAGTTCTTCTCCCGCTCGCGGGCATCCACAAACTCCTTGGCAAAGCGGTAGCCGTACTCCACATTGTCCCCGCAGCCGCCCCACAGCCAGTCCCGGGGAAGGTCCTTGGGCCTCGCTGTCCGGCTGCAGCCACACGTGGAGAGCTCGCCCTCCCTGCAAGCCCTGCTGATGGCGTTCACCACCCCCGCGGCACTCACTGCGTAGGTGAAGGCGGTCTCCCGGCTCCCTGCAAGAGAAGGCGGGAGAGGGGGTGAGGGATGCCAGCTCCCTAGGTAGGCCCTTTCCTTCCTTCCACCTTTCCCGGCCCCAATACCATCGCCCAGCCTCTAACACTCCCAGGAGGGAAACAATGTCAGGAGAAGCATCTTTCACGTCCCATGGCTCTAATGGTTAGGAACTCCTCTTGATAATGAGCAGAAATTTGTCTCCTCTACCCTGTGAGCTCACACACTAGAATGAATCCCTCCAGCCCCGGCCCACACTAACATCCATTCCAGGGAAGTTTACGTGGCCAGTAGATTCCGAGGAGGCAGACCTAAATGGAGGGAAGAGTGGGCATTAAGGAGTTTATGGGACATGTGGGACGAACAGAATGAGCCAGAGTAGAAATCATGGGACCAATAGCAGGAGTCTGTATCCTAGCAAAAACGCAGGTCACCATTTCTCATCACTTGATGGGCCACACATCTGTCTTTTTTATTGTTGCCATTATCTAGCTAGACAGTGGCAGAGACAAGGAGGAGAAGTAAGCCGGAATTACAATGTCCAGAATCATCCACACGGTTTTACTCTGCCTTCCGTGGGATCCACACTGCCTCCTGACTCAAGAGCACTGGGAAACCACAGCTACAGGATACTGGGCACGATCCCACTAAATGTCCAGATCACTTCCAGGAGAAACTCTGAACTGTGTTCCTCTCTATTGCTCTAGTGAACCACTTAAAACTCCTAGGATACATGTTCCACTTTAATAAAAATGTTTATAAAAAATAATATTCAGCCTCCAGGGAAATGCAAATAAAAATCACCATGTAAGGATGCCTGGGGGCCTCAGTCAGTTGAGTGTCTGCCTTCGGCTCAGGTCATGATCCCAGGGTCCTGGGATCGAGTCCCACACTGGGCTCCTGGCTCAGCGGGGAGCCTGTTTCTTCCTCTGCCTGCTGCTCCCCCTGCTTGTACTCTCTCTAACAAATAAATAAATAAAATCTTAAAAAAAAAAAATCACCTGGCGAAACCACTATACACGCACAAGGATGGCTAGAATCAAAAAGGGTGCTTGGCTGGCTCAGTTGGTAGTGTGTGACTCCTAATCTTGGGGCTGTAAACTCAAGCCCCACGACAGGTATAGAGATTACTTAAAAAAACAAAATCTTGGGGCGCCTGGGTGGCTCAGTGGGTTAAGCCGCTGCCTTCGGCTCAGGTCATGATCCCAGGTCCTGGGTTCGAGCCCCACATCGGGCTTTCTGCTCAGCAGGGAGCCTCCTTCCTCCTCTCTCTCTGCCTGCCTCCCTGCCTACTTGTGATTTCTCTCTGTCAAATAAATAAATAAAATCTTAAAAAAAAAAAAATCTTAAAAAATAAAATAAAATAGGGGCGCCTGGGTGGGTCTCAGTCAGTTAAGGGTCTGCCTTTGGCTTGGGTCATGATCTCTAAGGTCCTGGGATCAAGTCCCATATCTGGCTCCCCGCTCAGCAGGGAGTCTGTTTCTCCCTCTACACCTTCCCCCTGCTGTATTCTCTCTCTTTCTGTTGTGCTCTCTCTTATACACACACACACACACACACACACACACTCTCTCTCTCTCTCTCTCTCTCTCTGTCTTTAAAATAAATAAATAAAATCTTTAAAAAAAAAATAAAAGAAGTAGACATCCCATAATCCTGTCTTGGTGAAGACGGAAGCAGTCTACAATCCTCAATTGGTCTAGAAGGATCTCTCACTTTGCCCTCCTTCTTGATCATCTAGGCGGGACACAGTCAAGCTTGCCACCAGACCAGACTGGGCAGGTCAGTTTTTCTTGGGGAACCAGGGGTCAGCTTCTGGTCAGATGTGGACTAGGAGCAGGACAAGAAAAACCCAGATGAGGCAGGAAGTCACACTCATGATTCAGCCATCAGGACCCACATCTGAGTCAGGGCTGATCCGTGGCCAGAGACCAGTGCTCTATCTAATCTAGGGTAGTTAGACTAGGAGAATGAGCAACCTAGCAAGGATGCTAGGGTGACCGACGGGCTTGAAGGGAGGAGGGCCTATTCCCCTCTGTGAGGGAGCCATGCCTGAAAAATCTTCCTAAAATGGAGTCTCAATCCCCTGACTGGGCATCCTGGGACAGGGAGGAGCCTGGATCTGTAGCCTACATCCCTCCCACGGGGATTCTTCCTTTTCACAGCATTCCTCAGGGAAGTCGGCTGGGTTTTCAAGGCAACCCAGCCGATCATCTTTTTAATGACTTTAATCACCAGCACGTTCTTTCTTACAGTCAGTTGGAAAACGCCTCCGTGTAACTTCCACCCGCTGGAGCTCTGCTGTCTAATCCCTTCCCATTTGACAGCCTTTCAGCATTTGAAAACAACTGATAGGCCTTTTATGTGTTGTCTTTTCCAGGCTACATATGTCTGATTTCTTCCTCAGTGCTCTAGCAAACACGCTTTTCCAAGCTGAATCATGCCTCTCAGAACTGCCTTTCAAAATAATATGCCTGCATCCGAGCAAAATAGTGCAGACACTATGGGCTCTGACCGTCCTGCCCTATCATGATGGGTTCAGATCCCACTCTGTCCTCAGGTGGATTAGGGTCCTGGCAAGGGCTCTCTGCCTCTTTTGGTTGGGGCACCGAGGGTGGGCAGCTCTGCATTCCTGGGGAGCAACTGGGTCCTTTGGGAAGTACAGACTAGTAGTGCTACTCTCAGCCAGCAGGGCTTAGGAATGGGCAGCAAGGTGGGGGGCTTCTCTGTAGGAGAAACAACTCAGAATGGAAACCCGAACCACCTCAAGGATAAAGGCTAATTAACCCGCAACCATGTTGCTGCTAGAGACCTGGCATCGTTCCCCTACCAGGAGGCAGCAGGACACGAGCACACCTTCTCTCTGTTCCTCAGTAGTTCAACCCAGCTGCCGGGAAGGTGCCGCCATGTGCCCCCACCAAGGCTGAGCGACGTTCCACTGGCTCCCTCCAAGCTGCTCTGCTGCCCTCTGGTGGTGGACCCTTGCAGCAGCTTCAAAGAAGGGAGGGCTTTCTTGGAGAGCCCTGAGAGAGGATTGATTCCCCAAGAGGCACCCTGGGCCCAAGGGTATAAATGGAGGATAGCTTCCCAGGTAGCATAAGTCTGCAGGGAAGCTACAAAGAGAAACTGTGAGAATAAGGCAAGCAGGCAGTTCTGTTTGTAACAGAATAGGGTCCAGGGAGAATGGAGAATGGGAAGGTAGGCTTGCACAAGTCATTCCCCCAGGCCAGTCCGCACCCAGTGGCACTTCCATTCCTGCTAACTCCTTCCTTTCCTCAAGTGAAGCTCACTTTTTGGCTCTCACTCAAATAAAATTACACACAAAAAGGATCTAGCTGGGGCGCCTGGGTAGCTCAGTTGGTTAAGCGACTGCCTTCGGCTCGGGTCATGATCCTGGAGTCCCGGGATTGAGTCCCACATCCGGCTCCCTGCTCAGCAGGAAGTCTGCTTCTCCCGCTGACTTCTCTTCTCTCATGCTGTCTTTCTTTCATTGTCTCTCTCTGCCTCTCAAATAAGTAAATAAAATATTTAAAAAAAAAAAAAAGGATCTAGCTGATGTCAGGCACACATTAGGTCCCTGAAAGTGATTTGTGGATGCCTCTCTCTAAACCTGTGGTCCTCCTGCTGTCCACACCCAGAACCCAGTGCCGGGAGTGCGGCTAAGACTTTACTGGATACTAAGTGTATTTGAAAAGAATCAATAAATCATAAAGAGTTCCCACTCAACCCCAAGTCCATTCCTTTAGGAAAGCTGCCGCATAAGACTGTGGCAGGAACACGTGAGCCCTCTTGTCTAGACCTTGAGTCGATACTAGAGGAAGGACGAGGGCAGCAAGGTTCAAAGCATACCCCCCCCCCCCCCGGGTCCTCCCTCGTCAATATGGGTAGGGGAAAGAGGTCAGGAGGGAGGAGCCTTCCTCATACCCTGCTTGCTGCTAAAATCATTCTTCTTTGAGGGGAAAAACCCAGCCCCAGGTAACTCCCAAATGTCCTCCTTCCTTGGAAGGGAAATTCTTTTGGAGAACGGGAGACAGGAGAATACAGTGCCCTAACACCTTCTTTCTATGGCCCTGGGGATCTGACCCAATAGAATAGGGCCGGATTTCTCAATTTCTTGCCAGGGAGGGGAGGATTGCATTTCAAAAGGACCTAAAACAATTAGACCCCAAATCACACCTCCATCTAAGCAATAGGGCAGCCAGAGAGTCCGAGAGTGGGGGAGAGGGGAAGGGACAGGAATCCAGGAAGAGGTGGCCTCTCATCTTTCTTCTGGATGTGTCCCCTTCCCCCACATTCACACACATCCCTTTGGAATGAAAAAGTCAGGGCTGGATCTGGGTCAGGTTAATGACAGCTATCACCAATTTGGCCCAAAGTTTCTATCTCTCTCTCAGGGTCCAAGTGGCAGAGGCAAAATTCATATCAACTTTCAGAGCTGCGATTTTCGGTTCTCTACCCAATGCTGTCAAAGCCCTTCCCCTGTCTGACCCCTGCCCACCTGTGCTGAGACAAAGGTCAGTGGTGGTGGGCACGTCTGCTAATCCACTCTGACTCAACTCTGCTGTTTCTGCTACCTTACTGGAGTGAGTCGCCAGCGGACTGCCCCAGACAGGGTGAAGCGGGAGCAGAGGGCTCGCAGAGTGCTAGCAGGGTGGGGACCGACATCCCATCTGAGACTCTGCTTCCAGTGTGCATCTCCCACTCCCCTTGCACACCACTTCCAAGCCTCGGAGAACTCACCTAGACACTTGTGGGGGCTCTCTGTGCCAGGCCAGGGAGGTGAGCCCGGCTCCTGTAGCCAGCCACGTGTCAGTGGTGGGCTCTTACCTATCTGCATGACTCTCCCAAAGACGGACGCGTTGTCCACTGTGCTACAGTTCCACCGCCGCTGGCGAAATTGGTACTGGCACTCCTTGATGCCCGTCTTGGCTCCCTCCCCGATGTAGGCCATGTGCTCCTGGTACAGTTGGCACAGCTTCCTCTGGCCAGGGGAGAGCCCAGGAAGCTGGCTGCACACGGGCTGGGCACCGATGATAAACATCTCAGGTCTCTGCACCGGGTTCATAGCTAATGACCTACAGCGGAGATCCAGAAAGGGGACGGAAGACCCAGGGGTGAGCCTAGGCTTGCGTGCAGCCTGAAATCATTCACTCGACACATTTAGCAAGGGCTTTCCTTCTGTGTGCAAGGCCCTGTACTAAGGGTTTGGAAAAGAAATCTGCTAAAACAGAGGCCCTGCCTTCACAGGGCACTGTAGGAAACTGAGGCACAAATGCGGATGATACGGGAGAGGTCAAGGGCCAAAGCTAGACTTGAGCTTCTGGCTCCATGGTGATCAGACAGAGAAAGAGCTCTCCCAGCCGGAGAAAAGATTTTTATAAGGCAATGGCCAGAGTGCAAAGGGGGTCTTAAAGGATGGGGGACAGGCAGAGAAGGGTGATAGAGCGGGCAGAGGACATTCATTCCAGGCAGAGGACAGAAACAGCCAAACCTCCACAGGAGAGCACATGACTTATTCGGGGAGTGCGGGTGACGCACTCACTCTAACCCAAGTGCAGGGTGTGATGGAAAGCAGTAAATTCCGTCAAGTAACACTGCCCTTACGCCTGGCAAACAGAAGCCAATCTACACACATCACAACCTAGTCTAAACGTTTTCGATTCCATATCCCACCCAGAAATCCCCTAACCCACTCTATCCGTTCAGGGGCTCTCGCTTTGGCTCATCCTCTCCCACAAACAGAAAAGTGGTCAGTTAGAGGAGAAGACGGTAGAGGTACCTCTGAGACCAATGTAAGGGGGCCCAGACACGGCAAGATAGGTGGGGAGGGCTGGCCATTTGCAGGTTGACTTGGCCATGACAATAGTCTTAAAAACACAAAAGAAGGCCACGCACAATGGTCCTGCAAATCTCTCATCCGGTCATCAGACTTACCAAATAGGAATTCTACTCTCCCTGTACCCACCGCGGAAAAAAAAGAAATCCATGTTCTTACTGATCCAATAGCAAAGCGAGAGCTATTTTTAACAATCCATGGGGACAGAGGAAGGTCCCAAAAAAGGGGAAAGCGGACAGGATCAGAGGAAAAAACCAAATGCACTAATCCTTTATCCTTGCTGAACCTTTAGCTCTGGGGGCTTGTGAGAGAAAAGGCTGTCCTAGTTTTCCTGGGATAAAAGCGGTCCTTAGGATTCCTACGAATAAAGGAACGATCACAACCCACGGTGACCCTTCTCCACATTTAATTACCAAAGAGGCGTAGGTTGTAGAGAAGGGCCTCAGCCCCTCTCACTCACCACCAGGAGCTGGCTTCAGCCGGAAGCTGGGCCCAGCTGGACAGCAGAGCAGCGGCGAGCAGCAACAGGCTGGGCATGGTGGGCCTGGGCCTTGGCCCTCCCCAGTGCCCTGGGAAGACCCCGGGGGCGGTTGGCTTCTGAAATGGGGCTCCCTGGAGAAGAGAGAATGGAGGGAGAATCAATGTGGAGATGTAGCCAATGAGGCAGGACCTGCGGAGAGAGGATCGGGGAAAGCACCGAAAATGAGCTGGGGGGGGGTGTCCAACATCAAGTTCTGTTCCCCCCACAAAGAGATTCAGCCCCTTCCCATCCTCCATCTCCTACTGCTACTCTTCTCACCAGGGGACCGCCTTTGTGTCTCTTACCCCAAACTGTGGGACCCTACCCAGGACCTAATTCCAAAGGGAACAATGAGCTGAGAAAGGAGAAAAGAGAAAGGAAAACAAGTCATTTCCAGAACAGAGTGTGCTCAAGGTAGCTTTAAGGAAGATGCTTTGGTCGCTGTAGTGCACACCTGCCCTTCTTCCAGAACATCCAAAGAAACCACCGCACCATCCGCTCCTCCCTGTGCGTCTCACTCCAGCCCGAACTCTCCTCCAGGCACTAAGAACAGCTGAGGAGTTGGATTTGCCAACAGCCCAATAGGAGTCTTCCCTCCCCAACAGTACCCTTCCCACTCCAAGGAAGCTTCCACATCCCAGCCCTTGTTTACCGGGAACAGAGCAGACAGAAGAGTGAGGACTCTGCACTTCCTCAGGGCAACTTGTCTGAGAAATGCCATGTGTCCCCAAAGCTCCCTCGGGTGAGGTGGTCTCTTCCTAGGTGGCCTCCTTGCCCTCCTCTGCGCTGTGGCCCTCTAGGGGCGGCCAGGAGCGCTGACTGCAACGGTGAGCTCTTGGTCTGCAACCCCGCCTCAATGGTCTGTGCCCAGGACCCATCTTCCAGAAGCAACGACCCCTTCCCTTGTAGCTCAAGAGCTTCCCACGTCTTTGCCTATGCTGTTTGTAACTCGCGCCCGTGTCTGTATCCCCCGAAAGAGCACCTTTTCTCCAGCCCTTGGAAACAGGCGGAAAATCCTTGCTTCTGGATCCTAGAGCAAGTCTATAAAAACACGCCCCCTCCCTCTCACCCCACCTCGTTTCCCCCTTAGCTTCCATCCAGGGCGTGACCCCACATCTCCAATGAGTCTTCTTCCCATACCCCTTAACACCTCCAACTCCACACACGCGCGCGCGCGCGCACACACACACTGGCACGCGCTCCCAGCCGCTCCCGCCCGGTCTCACCGCGCGGCTCCCCCGGCCCTGGGACTCCAGGCTCTCCGGGAGGGGGCGGCAGGTGCTTCGGGTCATCAGCCTGGGAGATATTTTTGTCCTGGGGCAACCAAGAGAGGAAGGTGACCTGAACAGGATCCAGGAAAGCTGGGCCACAGCCTGGTTCCCACCCCCTTTTGGTTTTTCTTCTTGAGGTCTCAGCTGGGGCGGGAGCACCAACAGGCAGGTGTGCGGGGCCGGCAGGGGGCAGATCAAAGAAGAAACTTGCTCCTTCCCCTTTGTCATGCAGAGCCAGCTCGGAAATGATCCGGCCTCTGGCGCGGCCGACTAACAGTTCCCCACACCCTGCTTTCCTAACAGACCTCTCCTCCTCTAAAGGATGCCCCCTCCCCCTCAACCCTCTCCCCCCCCATAAATCCTCCCCGTCCCTCAGGGCAGGAGGTCTGTGAATGCACCGACTGGAACCAAGAGAGATGGAGCAGAGATAGGGCTGGCACCAGAAGCTAATGGCTTTATGGAGGGGAGGGAACCAGGTCCAGAGTGGGGAGGACGAGAGAAGAGCTTCAAAGGGTTTGCTTGTGCAAACATCCTCAACTCCACCTACCAGTCCTTCTTGGGGACTGAGGAGTCAGAGCTGCCCCTATTCCCTGTGGTCCTCCTCCCTCCCCCACACCTGCCCTCCCACCACCATGCCTCCCGCCTGCCCCCACATACAGCCTCACACGTTGCCACAGCCAGCGAGCAGAGTTCTGTCTCCCAACGGGTGACACTTCTTATCCCAGGGGATGCCCCCCTCACATCAGCGTCTCTCACTTCTGCCACACCTTTTCGTCAAGCTCCTGTGAAACTTTTCTGGTTCTGCGGCTCCTGGGTTCAACCGAGGCCACATGGTGGTGGTGGGGGGGGGCGTTTCTGAGCCAAGGACAGGACTCTGTGCCTGCTAACTAACGGTCACTGTGGCTTTGACTCCCCAGTGACAGGCCAGCTAGGGCCAAACTTCCCAAGAGCCGCTAATCCCGCCCCTCAGTGCCTGGCAAACCTAAACAGATGAGGGCTCACTGCTCAGCTGTTCCCACCATGTTGTGCTTTCCATCAAACTTTCAGTTCATTAAAAAAAAATACTTTAAAAACTTCAAAAATAAAAGAAAAGGAAAGAAAAAAGACTGCCACCCGTGTGGTGACTTCTTTCTCTGCCTTCCAGATATGCGGCACCTGGAATTGTATGCATTCCCTCCCCCTCCCCACGACAATCCCTCAGGATGCTCTCTGTCTGGATACAGGCAGATGTGAGCCACCCTGGGCCTGTCACAGAGCCCAGTGGGCCAGCTCTCTGCCCTGGCTGACATTCTTGGCTTCCCTTGTGTGGAGCTGGGAGGAGAAAAGCCAAGACTGGCGATTGGTTTCATCGGCAAGGGCAGCGTGGAAACTTCTGGCCTCTGTCCAGCCAGGGTAGAGGGAAGCTGGGTGGGGATGGATAGGACACGTGGAAAGCCCTGACTGCGGGTCACAGGTGAGTTTTACAGCAGGACTCAACCACTCAGCCAGGACTACGTGATCTTTCTTCACGTAGGAAGAAAGATCTAGTAAATACAGAAAAGACAGGGAGAGAGAAATCCTTGTGCTGCCTTTTGTCCTGACTACAGATTTCCTCAGAGAAGGGTTGGGGGGGGGGTGAATCCCATATCAAATTCGGCAAACACAGTGAAGCATGGGGAACTCCAAGGTCTCTGTCCTTTAGAGGTAGAGGGTCAGGGGAGGGGAAGAGACCTGCAGAGGCCCAGGAGGAGCTGGGCAGACATTAGCTCTGCTCTACTTCTTCAGTCCGTTATTTATTTATTCATTAAAGCCGTTCATCAGATGTGCACTGGGGGCCTCGTCTGTGGCAGTGACTGCTCTGAGGGCCGGAGTTATGGCAGTCAACGGGAGCAAGTCAATGCCTCATGTGTCAGGTCCAGTGAACACTGTAAGGAGAAGGAAAGCCGGGACAAGAACCAAGAATGGTAAAGGGTGAGAGCTTACATTCTTCAGGGTCCTGTAGGGAAAGCCAGACTCTGAACTATCCACCCAGCCCACCTCTCCTCAAACTGCTGTGGTGACAGGGAGGTGACAGGGCGGCTGTGACCCCACATCCTGGACCATACCATGCCATGTCCTTTACTGAGACTGAGAGGCCCGGCTTTACCCCCACAACCAAAGGAGTGCCCAGCACACGTGGCAAGGGCTTTGACAAGGTCATTAGCTGTTCACAAAAGTCACCTCTGGGGGTTCAGGACGGACCTCCCCAGAGCCTGAGAACTCAAGCAAGGTATGAGTCGCACATGAAATGGTGCCACATCCCACACCTGTCCTGTTGCCCCAAAGAGGCATCCCCACACCTGGAAACCTACCCAGAAATAATCAGCGGCCTCCATGGGAGCCTTTTCCTGGTTACCACTGGTCAGTTCATTCTGTGTGACTCAAGGAGGAGCTATGGAATGTTTGATTAAAAAAATACATTTTGCAGGGACACCTGGGTGGCTCAGTTGTTAAGCGGCTGCCTTAGGCTCAGGTCATGATCCCAGAGTCCTGGGATGGAGTCCCGCACTGGGCTCCTTGCTCAGTGGGGAGCCTGCTTCTCCCTCTCCCTCTGCCTGCTGCTCCCCCTGCTTGTGCTCTCTTTCTCTTTCTCTCTGACAAATAAATAAAATATTAAAAAAAAAAAAATTTGCAGGGCGCCTGGCTGGCTCAGTGGTAAAGCACATGACTCTGATCTTAGGGTTGTGAGTTCAAGCTAGGGTGTGGAATCTCCTTAAAAAACAGCACCTTGGGGCGCCGGGGTGGCTCAGTGGTTAAAGCCTCTGCCTTTGGCTCAGGTCATGATCCTAGGGTCCTGGGATCGAGCCTCCCATCGGGCTCTCTGCTCAGCAGGGAGCCTGCCTCCTCCTCCTCTCTCTCTCTGCCTACTTGTGATCTGTCTGCCTAAAAAAAAAAACAAAAAACAAAAAAACAGCACCTTTGCGATTTTGTTAACGTTCCTGACATAATCAGATAGACACTCTTAGCAGTCTTGGGGAAGGGAGTGGCTCCCTTTGTGACCTTCTGGCTACACTGATGCCCCAGTGCCTGCCAGTGATTCGATGATTTCTGTGGGGGCAGGTGGAGGAGGAGAAGGAGTGACAGAGCCTTCTCTTCCCTCTGCCACTTCATTTCCGCCACTGTAGGGAAAGATTCTTTTATTTTTATTTTTTTTTTAAGTAGGCTCCACACCCAGCATATAGTCCAACACCGGGCTTGAACTCATGGCCCTGAGATTAAGAGTCAGACACTTAACTGACTGAACCACCCAGGTGCCCCAAGAAAGATTCTGTATGGATCTAAAAACACTTGGCAAACACCTCCTACAATGCACCCAAGTTCACTAATGGCCTTCCCCGTTTTCAGATAAGTGCCCACCCTTATTATACCTGAACACTAGAGCAGTCCTCTGTGGTCTAACCCAATGGTTCCACACCAGTTTTCCTGAAACACTGATCTCGCATCATATTCCCATCTGAAGACTTACAGTGGTTCCCAGCTCTTCAATTGTCCTAAACTTCCCAGCCTGGCCTCACTTTACATCTTATTCTTCTCCTGAAATTCCCACTATGGGGTCTCTTCTCCAACCTCCCCCTGCTCCTAGAACAAGCTCTGCTTTCCCCCCAATCCCTCATTCTGTTCCTCTTCCCAGCAATGCTTTCTAGTCTCCAACGATACTTAAAGTCCGTGCTCAAGATTCACCTCCTCCATAAAACTGTCTTTGATTAATCCCACACCATGAAAATCCTTCCATTCACTTGGGATTTCCTGGGCCCTTATGAGGACCCCATCCCACACAGGCTGCCTCGGAACTGTGCACG